GGTGTGTGGACCAGGTGTTTACAGTGAAACATTCAAGTGAACAGTATTTAGATAAGGCTAAAGAGGTCTTTGTGGCATTTATGGATTTGGAAAAGGCGTATGACAGGGTGGATAGGGGTGCAATGTGGCAGATGTTGCAGGCGTATGGTGTAGGAGGTAGGTTACTGAAAGCAGTGAAGAGTTTTTATGAAGATAGTGAGGCTCAAGTTAGAGTATGTAGGAAAGAGGGAAATTATTTCCCAGTAAAAGTAGGCCTTAGACAAGGATGTGTGATGTCACCGTGGTTGTTTAATATATTTATAGATGGGGTTGTAAGAGAAGTAAATGCGAGGGTCTTGGCAAGAGGAGTGGAGTTAAAAGATAAAGAATCACACATAAAGTGGGAGTTGTCACAGTTGCTCTTTGCTGATGATACTGTGCTCTTAGGAGATTCTGAAGAGAAGTTGCAGGGATTGGTGGATGAATTTGGTAGGGAGTGCAAAAGAAGAAAATTAAAAGTGAATACAGGAAAGAGTAAGGTTATGAGGATAACAAAAAGATTAGGTGATGAAAGATTGGATATCAGATTGGAGGGAGAGAGTATGGAGGAGGTGAATGTATTCAGATATTTGGGAGTGGACGTGTCAGCGGATGGGTCTATGAAAGATAAGGTGAATCATAGAATTGATAAGGGGAAAAGGGTGAGTGGTGCACTTAGGAGTCTGTGTAGACAAAGAACTTTGGCAAAGAGGGGAATGCATGAGAGTATAGTTTTACCAACGCTCTTATATGGGTGTGAAGCATGGGTGATGAATGTTGCAGCGAGGAGAAGGCTGGAGGCAGTGGAGATGTCATGTCTGAGGGCAATGTGTGGTGTGAATATAATGCAGAGAATTCGCAGTTTGGAAGTTAGGAGGAGGTGCGGGATTACCAAAACTGTTGTCCAGAGGGCTGAGGAAGGGTTGTTGAGGTGGATCGGACATGTAGAGAGAATGGAGTGAAACAGAGTGACTTCAAGAGTGTATCAGTCTGTAGTGGAAGGAAGGCGGGGTAGGGGTCAGCCTAGGAAAGGTTGGAAGGAGGGAGTAAAGGAGGTTTCGTGTGCGAGGGGCTTGGACTTCCAGCAGGCATGCGTGAGCGTGTTTGATGGGAGTGAATGGAGACAAATGGTTTTTAATATTTGACGTGCTGTTGGAGTGTGAGCAAAGTAACATTTATGAAGGGGTTCAGGGAAACCGGCAGGCCGGACTTGAGTCCTGGAGATGGGAAGTACAGTGCTTGCACTCTGAAGGAGGGGTGTCAATGTTGCAGTTTAAAAACTGTAGTGTAAAGCACCCCTTCTGGCAAGACAGTGATGGAGTGAATGATGGTGAAAGTTTATCTTTTTCGGGCCACCCTGCCTTGGTGGGAATCGGCCAGTGTGATAATAATAATAAAAAAAATTCTTCTCCTCCTCCTCCTCCTCCTTCTCATCCTCCTCCTCCTCCTCATTATTATTATATACTTCCACATATCCAAAACATTGCTGGGACCTATAAATAATTGTATATACTCCAAGACATCATAGGTAGTAGGTTGGTAGACAGGAACCGCCCAGGGAGGTACTACCGTTCTGCCAAGTGAGTGTAAAACGAAAGCCTGTAATTGTTTTACATGATGGTAGGATTGCTGGTGTCCTTTTTTCTGTCTCATGAACATGCAAGATTTCAGGTACGTCTTGCTACTTCTACTTACACTTAGGTCACACTACACATACATGTTTTTTTTTTTTTTTCAACAAGTCGGCCGTCTCCCACCGAGGCAGGGTGACCCAAAAAAGAAAGAAAATCCCCAAAAAGAAAATACTTTCATCATCATTCAACACTTTAACCACACTCACACATTATCACTGCTTTTGCAGAGGTGCTCAGAATACAACAGCTTAGAAGCATATACGTATAAAGATACACAACATATCCCTCCAAACTGCCAATATCCCAAACCCCTCCTTTAAAGTGCAGGCATTGTACTTCCCATTTCCAGGACTCAAGTCCGACTATATGAACATAACATGCTCTTTGCTGATGATACTGTGCTCTTAGGAGATTCTGAAGAGAAGTTGCAGGGATTGGTGGATGAATTTGGTAGGGAGTGCAAAAGAAGAAAATTAAAAGTGAATACAGGAAAGAGTAAGGTTATGAGGATAACAAAAAGATTAGGTGAGAAAGTTTGGGAAATTCAGATTGGAGGGAAAGAGTATGGGGGAGGTGAATGTTTCAATATTTGGGAGGGGACGGTCAGCGGATGGGTCTATGAAAGATAAGTGAATCATAGAATTGAAAGGGGAAAAGGGGTGAGTGGTGCCTTAGGATCTGTGTAGACAAAGACTTTGTCCTTTGGGGGCAAAGAGGGGAATGCATGAGAGTAATTTTTTTACCAACGCTCTTATATGGGTGTGAAGCAGGGGGGAGAAGTTGCAACGAAAAAGGGGCGGAGGCAGGGGAGATGTCATTCTGAGGGCAATGTGTGGTGTGAATATAATGCAGAGAATTCGTAGTTCGGAAATTAGGAAAGGGTGTGGGTTACCAAAACTTTTATCCAAGGCGAGGGGGGGTTTTTTGAGGGGGGTTCGGGCACGTAAAAGAATGGAAAAAAACAATCACTTCGAGAGTGTATAAATCTCTTTTGGGGGGAAGGCGCGGTAGGGGGTTGGCCCAGGAAAGGGGTTGGAGGGGGAAGGGAAAAAGGTTTTTTGTGCGAGGGGCATGGACTTCTAGCAAGCTGCATGAGCGTATTTGATAGGAGGAAAGGGGACAAATGGTTTTTAATACTTTACGTGCTGTTTGGGGTTGAGCAAAGTAACCTTTATGAAGGGACTCGGGGAAACCGGGAGGGAGGCCAGACTTGATCCTGGGAATGGGAAATACAGTGTCTACACTCGAGAAGGGCCATTTTGCAGTTTTATAACAATGTAAAGACCCCTCTGGCAAAACAGTGATGGGGGAAGATGATAAAGTTTTTCTTTTTCAGGGCCCCCGCCTTGGTGGGAATCGGGTGATTGTTAATAAAAAAAATACTATAGGGTGGATCAAAGCAACTGGCAGATGTTTCAAGTGTATTGCAATTTACGTTGCTTAAAGCAGTCCGAAGTTTTTTATAAGAATAGTGCTCGGGTTAAAGGTTATGGGGAAAGGGGGAGATTACTGCCCATTTAAAAGTAAGCCTTAGACGGGGAAAGTGTGATGCCACCAGGTTTGTTTAACCCTTTGAGGGTTTTGGGTTTGACTAGTACGTTTTAAAACGGTGGGGGTTTTTGACTTTACTATACGCAAAAAATTTCCCGAAAAGGGGCCCTCAAATCTAGTGGGAGAAAGCTGGTAGGCCTTCATAGAAAAAAATGGGTTATGGGGTCAGGGTGCCCTTTCCAAAAAAAAATCCTGCAGCACACATGCATAATGAAAAAAAAAAACTTTGCCCTTTTTTTTTGGAAAAAATCACGACTTTTGCAGTGAAATTTTTTTGGGTTTTATTGTTGAATTCAAGTTTTTTTGGGGTCTCATTTTATAGAATGGAAGACATATTACGGGAAATTGAAAAGATTTTTGAGGGTTTTTAAAATTAAAAGGGGTTTGCCTTGAAATTGGGGCCAAAGGGGCAGAAATGTTCGATTTTTCCAAAATTTCAAAAAATAAACAAATCGTCCAAAAGCAGGGGCAATACAGCCCAACGGGTTGGTCAAAATTTTTTCCCACAAGTGAAACCAATAATTTTTTTTAAAACCATTTTTTACACAAAATGCATTTAGTCTGCATAAAAAGAAAAATCTTATATTTTTTGTGAGAATAAAAATTAAAGTGGAAAGAAAAATAAAAAAAGGGGGGCCTTTTGAGACGTACCTAATGAAAAGAGAAATGTCATTTTGGGTCCCAAAATGTCTTTTTGTTTATTCGGGGCCCTTTTGGGAAAATTGGGCATCTTTTGAAATTTGTGTAAAATTTGGCAAAATTGCTAAATTCTGACCACTGTACTGAATAGTTGAATTCATAAAGGGGTTGGTTTTTTGCACCCATTCGAAAAAAAAAAATGGATTTCTACGAAATTTTTAGGTTTTTTTTTAAATAGACAGGGGAAATTTGGGCCCGAAAATGGGGCTCAAAGTGGGAAAAAAATCGCTGATCCCGAAACATCGCCGGACCGGGTAAAATTTGCGAAAGCATAATTTTGTAAGTTTTTTATCAAAAATTTTAAAATTTTGGTGTCTTTAAAGATCGGGAAAAGTTTTCTTTTCTTTTCATAAAAGAAAATAATTTTTTTTTTTTTTTAAAATTTGGGGCCCACCCTGAAAAACGATTTTTGGAAAAGGGGGTCGGACCCTCAAAGGGTTTAAAAATTTTATAGAAGGGGGTTTTAAAAGAAAAGAATGCTAAAAGGTTGAGGAGAGGGATTGGGGGTTTTAAATATAAAGGAAATTTTCATACAAATGGACTGTCACCCAATGCCCTTTTTACTTATAAACAAACCCTTTTGGGGAAAACTGTGAGGGGGGGTAGATGAATTTGGGAGGGTAAAGTTTAAAAAAAGGGAAATTCAAATTAAAAATAGAAACACAAAATGAAGGGCAAAAAAAAAAATTTAGGTAATGAAAAAACAGCTTTTTTTTACATATCATATAGCTTAAAAATTTTTTTTAAATTTTTCCAGAACAAATGTTTGGAAAAATTTTTGCTCAATTTTTTATGGGGGCAGTCCCAATTTAAAAATTAATTTTGCATATTTCAAAAAAGGGAAAAAGAACAATCAAAATTAAAAAAGTGCCCGATCAGCTAGATTGTGATGACAAGTAGACATATAGGCTACTAGCAGCAACAGCCTGGTTGACTAGGTATTCATTATGGAAATCTGGCCTCAGGCTGAGCTGCAAACATAGAACCTTCAAAACAGGTCATAGGACGGTATAGTAAAAATGCAAAATTACTCATCCACTAGCCTAAAGACCACATAAGCTTTGTGAACTGCCCAGTAGTGCAAAGTGCAATACATACTTGTCTAATAGGATCTTGTTCCTGAGCAAGTCTCTCTGCCAGGCAGCTCACTTTGGCAAAGACTGGTGACAGAAGATTTCTCATCAAGATTTCCTTACGATGTGCTTCATTATTACTTGATATGATAAGCGTTGCAGCAGCTTCAAACACATACAATTGATCATCATTCGTCAGCAGAGGTGTAGCTGAAAATAATAAACATTGCAGTATGTACAGGCATACCTAGTTAATAGGACGCTTGCTTTAGAGCGCTTTGCTAATATTGATGTTTATTTTCAGCACATGCTTAGCTATTAAGATGGTTTTCATTAATTAAAAAAAAATTACTTTTGCATCTTTTTTTTAGGCCTATTGTTACTGTGCATTTAATAAATGATAACAAACATGTTTTAAGGTTTTTATATGCACTGGCAAGTGAAAAAAAAAAAGGTTGTGATTCGCTTTAAGGCTGCAGTCCAGAAAATATCCAGCCATATTTGTAAGGTAGGACTGTATAATTATGTAACATTAATAAGCTACAGTATAACATAAAAAACTATGAAACCGAGTCAAATTTAATCCTTCACATGGAAGCTTTCATATAAGAAAGCCCTTGATAGAACAGTTCTCAAAAAATCATGTGAGTGTCATTATTATCTACTGACATTGTTAAGATACAGCAAGGAACTTCCTTTTCAAGTAATCTGAATTTGGAAAGTATACCTTTGATGAGTTTCGAGAGTTCTTCTACTCCCGGACCCTGGTCTGGGACCAGGCTCACAAAGTGTGCAGATAACAAACATACTGGGAGAGAGATGTGAGATTAATAATTTGGTTCAACAGTGAGTATAATATATAAAATTAATTTTTGTTTTAACACACCAGCCATAAAAATTAACATCTTAACACACAAAGGATATTTTTATTTTTATTTCTTGCCAAATCACTCACCACAAAAAAAAAAAAAAGTCAACTGCTTCTACTAAACAAAATTCAGCAAGATATACTTTTTTTTTCAACATGCTGGCCATCTCCCTCCAAGGCAGGGTAACACAAAAAAAAAAAAAAAAAAAAAAAACTAACTTTCACCATCATTCACTTGTATCACTTTGCAGAGGCACACACATATGACAGTTCAGATGTCACTAAACAGGAAATATCCCAAACCCCTCCCCTTTAAGGTGTACACATTGTACTTCCCATCTCCAGGACTCCAGACCAGCTAACCGGTTTCTCTGAATCCCTTCACAAAATATCCTGCTCACATTCCAACTGCTCATCAAGTCCCATAAAAAATTTGTCTCCACTCACTCCAATCTAACACAGTCACACATGCCTGTTGTACCACTCACTCCTATCTAACACACGCACACATGCCTGCTGTATATCCAGCCCCTTGCACACAAAACCTCTTTTACCCCACCCCTCCATCCTTTTCTAAAACAACTCCTATGTATTTTGCTCCATCCTCTTTAAATGACCAAACCACCTCAACAACCCTTCCTGAGCCCTCTGAATAATACTTTTAGTAACTCTACACCTCCTTCTAATTTCCACACTACAAATTCTCTGCATAATATTTACACTATACATTGCCCTTAGACACGACATCTCCAGTCTTCTCCTAGCTGCAACTCATGTTTCACACCCCATGTAAGCGTGTTGGTACCACTGTATTATCATACATTCCCTTCTTTGCCTCCGAGCACCATGCCTCAATGCACCACCCACCTTTTTCCCTTCAACTCTATGGTTATCTTGTCTTTCATAAACCTATCCACCAAGTTTACTTAATTTAACCAATTTTATACAGGGATATATAGCATGGGTAAGTGTGAGCAGGGTAATACTTTGTGAAGGGATTCAGGGAAACCGGTTAGCCAGACTTGAGTCCTGGAAATGGGAAGTACAATGCCTGCACTTTAAAGGAGAGGTTTGGGATACTGGCAGTTTGGAGGGACTTCTAAACTGTCATATCTGAGTGCCTCTGCAAAGACAGTGATTATGTATGAGTGATGGTGAAAGTGTTGAATGATGATACAAGCATTTTTCTTTCTTTTTAGGTCACCCTGCCTTTGTGGGAAACAGCTGGTGTTAAAAAAAAAAAAGTACAATGCACTTTAAAGAAGGAGTTTGGGATAATGGCTATTTGGAGTGACATCTAAACCGTCATGTCTGGACACCTCTGCAAAGACTGATTAAGTATGAATGATGGTGAAAGCGCTGAATGATAGTGAAAGCATTTCTTTCTTTTTTGGGTCACCCTGCCTTGGTGGGATATGGCTGGTTTGTTGAAAGAAGAAGACTTCCACTTGTTTCTGCAGAGTACATTTAATTGAGCCTTTCACTGTCCAAACCCCAAAAATGAAAGTTGCCTCTCTCTCTCTTCTCTCTCCTGTCCACTTTTTAAAAACAAAAAATTTATTCTGAAACGATAGAGGATCTTATTCTGAAGGTAATGACACCAAAAGTATGAAATTTTATGGAAAACTTACAGAATTAGGCAGGCATAATTTACGCATCAGCAATTTCGCCCACTGAGTCCTATTTTAAGCTAATTCCATCTGACCAAATTCTTAGCTATTGCACTAGTATGCTTTCTGTTCTATCAACTGAGCACGAGAAACTGCCCATTCAACTATTTCAACTACAATATAAAGTGCACAGAGGTTTGTAATCTGCCAATTTTACACAAAATTAAAAAAATACCAGTTTAAAAATAGAGTCCATAATAAATAATATAGACATACCTGGTACTAAAACAATATTTCCTATTCATCAGTTACATCCCTAGACCTCTCCTACATTACATTTGCCTTCCATTTTTAATTTTTTCCTGGTTATATTTTATTGTCTCATATAATAAAATATAACCAGGAAAGACTGGTCATGGTTGACAAGGTCCCAATAATTGAATTAGACCTATAAAAACCCATAAAACAGACTGGAGGTTGTAGGAAGGCCTTACCTGTCCTCTGGAATATTCACAAAAATCAAATACTTCTGCTACTTTAAGCTCAATTTCAAGCTATTTCCAGTCCTTGAAACCAATCAAAATCATCTCTACTTCAGTGGTATATCTTCCATTCTATCAAATGATACCAAGAAACTGCCAATTAAACTATAAAACCATCCAAAAAACAACCTCACTCGCTATTTTAAACCATATACATGGTCACAGTTTTGTTCTACCCCGTCATGCACCGCATATGGCAGGATTTGTTTTATACCATGCACACTCACCACACAGACCCATTATCTCATATCTAGGCCAAAATTTACCACCCACAACTTATTTGAGTGAGATGGGCTCCATGATCCAGTTCTAAATGACAGGCAATGAAAGGGTTAATTCTGTAAACACCTGCTTGGTAGTGCAAATTCTGGTAAAGAAATGTATCAACATTTACTAATGTACAGAGGTGTCTAAAAATATTTAAATATTAAATCTCCTCAAATAATTAAGACACAATATAGAACTAAACAAAATTGGTATAACACTTACTTTGACCATTGTTAGGAGGTGCCATTACCAGCAAGTCTGTGAGCTGACTCAGAATGTCTTCTGTGTAGCCAATAATATGGGTTTTGAGGCAACGCACAATGCGGGAGAACAAATAACTTGTTCTACTACGCACCTAATGAAGAAAAATGGAATAAGAGTGAAGATTATCAATACATATGTATGTAGCATGGACACTATAATTAAGTCAGAGATTTCTCATTACTGTGTACATTAACATAAACCAAAAACTGACACCACTTCAGTTGTCAAAATCCAGTTAGACTAAATGCAAGTATGTGGGTTCTTTAGTAATCTGATATACTCTATAATGTATAGACTATGAATGGAAATTGAGACAAATAAGAATGATGCAATCTTTTATTGACAATGTTTTGACTGTGCAGCGGCTATTTTATATTGAATTTAGTACTATTTCTATCCACGACCTACACACGTTCTCATAGGAGCAAGCAACCATGGCATATTTGTACTCCATAATGTATTAGAATCAAAACTTGTAAGTCATCTATACATGGAGTGATGTTTGCCTCACAGTGTAAATGCTCTGAGTTTACTTTGGTACCATAATTTGGGGATTACAATATCTTGACTAACATCATCTAGTTTACCTAAAAATCAATACTACTGGCCCTTAGTCGAAGTGCCTAAAGCATAAAGAAGTCAATACAGTAGCAGCAAACTGAAAAACAATAGTGAGACTCACAATTAAGTGGAAAAATCACCCAGGAAATGTTGAACCTTTTAACCTAAAATGCATATGGAGTTTATGCTTTGGTCAGGCCTGGACCACTGTCAAATCACAACTGACAATGGTCCAGGATGGTCTAATATGTCACAAATTTTTACTCCTAGGCACATGTTATTTGTGAATCAGGAGGCAGTAATCTGACAAAAGACATCAGAGAAGGTAGGTGACCACACTAGGAATAACATTACAGATACGTACCTAACTGAGGAAGATGGTTTCATGACCTGACACTAATATAAAAAAAAGTTCATAATAGTGTTATTTTCAACTCGAGCTTTAACCACCTCTAGCAAACTTGTAGAGCTATGAGAAAAGGCAAGACACATTAGAAAAAAGACTCTTAATACACAGAGGTGCCATAAACACAAGCAACCAGGAAACATCTAGGTATACAGTGCTACACAATGCCCCTTCAAATATGATTCCACTTTACTTTTAGGTATGTGGTTTTAATGTCTCCCTTTTTAAAACACTGGAAGCATTTTTTAAAAAATGAAGGGGGAGGAGGGAGTGGTATCCACTCATGCAGCTCATTCTCTAGGTGAGAACACATTTCTTCTTCTTTCAACAAACCAGCCGTATCCCACCGAGGCAGGGTGGCCCAAAAAGAAAAACGAAAGTTTCTCTTTTTAAATTTAGTAATTTATACAGGAGAAGGGGTTACTAGCCCCTTACTCCCGGCATTTTAGTCGCCTCTTACAACATGCATGGCTTACGGAGGAAGAATTCTGTTCCACTTCCCCATGGAGATAAGAGGAAATAAACAAGAACAAGAACTAGAAAGAAAATAGAAGAAAACTCAGAGGGGTATGTATATATATGCTTGTACATGTATGTGTAGTGTGCCCTAAGTGTAAGTAGAAGTAGCAAGATGTACCTGAAATCTTGCATGTTTATGAGACAGAAAAAAGACACCAGCAATCCTACCATCGTGTAAAACAATTACAGGCTTCCGTTTTACACTCACTTGGCAGGACGGTAGTACAGTGGACCCCCGGTTAACGATATTTTTTCACTCCAGAAGTATGTTCAGGTGCCAGTACTGACTGAATTTGTTCCCATAAGGAATATTGTGAAGTAGATTAGTCCATTTCAGACCCCCAAACATACACATACAAATGCACTTACATAAATACACTTACATAATTGGTCGCATTCGTACCTCCCTGGGCGGTTGCTGTCTACCAACCTACTACCTACACATTTACACTCAAATTTCTACACTAGGGGATGAGAAGATCAAATGTTTACATTGAAGCATATATGTGAACAATATTTAGATAAAAGTAGAGAAGTTTTCATTGCCTTTATGGATTTAGATAAGGCATATGATAGAGTGGATAGGGTAGCAATGTGGCAGATGTTGCAAATACAGTGGACCCCCGGATTAAGTCATCATCAGAATAAGTAATATTCGGAATAAATAATGTTTTTGCATCAAAATATTGGTTCGGAGAACATCACCGAACTCGGTATAAGTCATTCATCTGGAACGTGTCCGTGCGGACTGAGCAGCCCTGACACTTCATGTACAGCCAGTGTGCCATTGTTTACCAGCCAGTGAGGACGATCCCACGTGTTCATACGATACATTTTGTATTATTCCATTCATTTAAGTGCTTGTAACTGCTAAATAAACCACCATGGGCCCAAAGAAAGCTTCTAGTGTCAGCTCTTTGGTAAACAGGGTGAGAAACACTATAGAATTCAAGAAAGAGATCACTGCAAAATACGAAAGTGGAGTGCGTGTCGCCGAGCTGGCCAGGTTGTATAACAAACCCCATACAACCATCACTACTATCGTGGCCAAGAAAAAGACAATCAAGGAAGCTGTTGTTGCAAAAGGTGCAAATATGCTTACAAAACAGAGATCACAAATACTGGAAGATGTGGAGGCTTTGTTGTTGGTGTGGATCAATGAGAAACAATTATCAGGATATAGTGTTATGCAGTCTATCATTTGTGAAAAAGCAAAGCAGTTGCATGACGATCTCGCAAAGAAAATGCCTGGAACTAGTGCCGATACTGGTGAATTTAAGGCCAGCAATGGCTTGGTTTGAGAGATTTGTGAATCGTAGTGGCATACACAGTGTGATAAGGCATGGTGAAGCTGCCAGTTATGGCAAAAAAGCAGGGCTGAAAAATATGTTCAGGATTTCAAGGGGTACACAGCAGCTGAAAAATTAAAACCCAACAAGTGTTCAACTGTGACAAAACAGGCCTCTTTTGGAAGAAAATGCCAAAGAGGACCTACATTACTCAGTAGGAAAAGACACTGCCAGGATACAAGACAGGCAAACTCTCATGTTTTGTAGTAATGCTAGTGAGGATTGCAAAGTGAAGCCTTTACTGGTGTATCACTGAAAATTCCAGAGTGTTCAAGATAAACAGTGTCGTCAAGAGTAAATTGTGTGTGATGTGGAAGGCAAACAGTAAGGCATGGGTCACGAAGGACATTTCCCTTTATTGGTTCCATGACGTGTTTGACCCCAGTGTGAAAAAATACCTCTTGGAAAATAAATTGGAACTCAAATGTCTCCTGGTAATGGACAATGCTCTTGCTCATCCTCATGATGAGCTGTTGGAGTGTGAGCAGGGTAATATTTTGTGAAGGGATTCAAGTTAGCCAGACTTGAATCCTGGAAATGGGAAATACAATGCCTGCATTTTAAACGAGGGGTTTGGGATATTGGCAGTTTGGAGTGACTATATGAAACTGCCATATTTGGGCGCCTCTTCTCGGGTTTTTCTTTCTTTTGGGTCACCCTGCCTTGGTGGCAAACGGCCGATGTGTTAAAAAAAAAAAAAGTTGGTAGACAACAACTGCCAAGGGAGGTACTACCGTCCTGCCAAGCACGTTTAAAATGGAAGCCTGTAGTTGTTTTACATGATGGTAGGTTCGCTGGTGTTTTTTTCTGTCTCATATACATGCAAGATTTCAGGTACGTCTTGCTACTTCTACTTACACTTAGGTCACACTACACATGCATGTACGAGCATATATATATATACACACCCCTCTGGGTTTTCTTCTATTTTCTTAGTAGTTCTTGCTCTTGTTTATTTATCTCCACTGGGAAGTGGAGCAGAATTCTTCCTCCGTAAGCCATGTGTGTTGTAAGAGGCGACTAACATGGTGGGAGCAAGGGGCTAGTAACCCCTTCTCCAGTATACAGTGGAACCTCAAATTTCGAATGTATCACTTATCAAACTTTTCGAAAATAGAACGCTTTTTTCGAACCAACTTTGTCCCAATTGTCGAACTCCCCCCTATTTTCGAACCGCCAGGTACCGGACCTGACCGGCAGCCCACTCTGTCCGCGTCCCCATGCAGGCTCTGTGAGCCAGTCTGGTTTTTGTTGATGCCTGAGTGAACACGAACCTGCGCTCCCATTCAAACATTTTAAGATTATTTCATTGCATTTAGTGCTTGTGGGACTGTGAAATGAGCTACCATGGGCCCAAATAACTTGCTAGTGGTACCCCTGTGGTAAAGAAAGTGAGAAACACCCAACTCTCTCTCCTCCTCCCTATCTTCCAGATGCCATCACCAATCTTCAATAAAGATAAATAAAAATATTATTTTATATGTTTATTTAAATTTTTTTTTTATTTCAACAAGTCGGCCGTCTCCCACCGAGGCAGGGTGACCCAAAAAAGAAAGAAAATCCCCAAAAAGAAAATACTTTCATCATCATTCAACACTTTCACCTCACTCGCACATAATCACTGTTTTTGCAGAGGTGCTCAGAACACAACAGTTTAGAAGCATATACGTATAAAGATACACAACATATCCCTCCAAACTGCTAATATCCCGAAACCCCTCCTTTAGAGTGCAGGCACTGTACTTTTTTTTATAATTGTTATATCCCATTTCCAGGACTCAAGTCCAGCTATATAAAAATAACCGGTTTCCCTGAATCCCTTCACTAAATATTACCCTGCTCACACTCCAGCAGATCGTCAGGTCCCAAATACCATTCATCTCCATTCACTCCTATCTAACACGCTCATGCACACCTGCTGGAAGTCCAAGCCCCTAGCCCATAAAACCTCCCTTACCCCTTCCTTCCAACCTTTTCGAGGATGACCCCTACCCCTTCTTCCTTCTCCTACCGATTTAAATGCTCTCCATGTCATTCTACTTTGATTCATTCTCTCTAAATGACCAAACCATCTCAACCCCTCTTCAGCCCTCTCACTAATACTTTTATTAACTCCACACCTTCTCCTAATTTCCACACTCCGAATTTTCTCCATATTTACACAACACATTGCCCTTACACAGGACATCTCCACTGCCTCCAACCATCTCCTTGCTGCTGCATTCACAACCCAAGCTTCACACCCATATAAGAGTG